GTACTGTTCCACTGTTCTACCTGCTCTGTACTTTTCTTTGCAATTCATTGTTGCTTTTTCACAGTGTGACCCAATCTGATGTATATTTTAACCTCCTTAGTTTCTTCCAAGTTTCTGTAACTTGTGAACAGAGATGTCATTCAGGACACTTGGGGTTTTTTTGTTGTTTTTTAGGCTCTTTTCCTTAGCACTGTTAAAGGTTCGTGCTCAAGATTGCTTTGAGTTTAGATTGCTTCACCTGAAATACAGCTCTGCTCTGTCATGTGACAAGCAGCACCTCTATGGTAAATCAGAGAGAAAAGTGTGTTCCTGAGAAACTGGCTACTGAAACACCTTGGTTTAGTTCATGGTAGGAACCAGACACTATTCTAGTGCAAGAGTTAATTCAGCATTGTAATAAACCCTGTTGGATGCATCAGATGGCAGCTGGTTGCTAAAACAGGTGCTGTTTGGATTTGGCTAACCACAACTATTGTTATTCTCTTTATTAGCATTTTTTTAAATCTTGATTTAATGGTTGAATAACTCATCTTACTGTTAATTTCTGTGAATAAAAATAGAGGAATGAATGTGAATAATTTTCAGCCAAGTAAAAATTCTACTAAATTGTTTTGTCCTTTTTTATTAAAAAAGCAAAGTTTTAAATTTCTTTTTAAACACAGTAAAACTTAGATTTTTTGCTAAATTCTATCTGTTGCTTTGGTTTAGTCTGGCAGCAGCTAGTCCTCTATCTTCTAATACTTGCAGAGTTTTCAGTTTATGTTCTTGTTTACCAACCCCCGGAACTTCTTTCAAGGGGACTATAAATGTTTTAATATGCAGATTGGTTTTGAGTTGTGTGCGGAAGATGTTGTTGCCATCACTGGCTCCAAGAAATAAGTTACATTATTGTAAGCTTTGGCTTCTGTGTTCATTTGCAAGCAGCTTTCATTTTGAAAAAGAAAAGAAAAATGTCAATAATTTGTTTTCCTCTTATAGTCATTTGTTTCTGGAAGATAGAGAAGATGAGTGGCTTGATAAAATGGTGTTGACCAGTTCAGCCGTTAACAATATTATCTTTAAATAGTCTTTTAAACTTTCTTAGTATCTGTCTGTAGAAAATTGTCATAGTAAAGCTACATATCCTGCGGGTGAGTTCTGGAAAAAGAGTATTCTTATTCCAATGGACACAGTTTCAGCTGACATAAATCAGGTGGGTCAGTGTGTGGGATGGTTAGAACTGTATTCAGACCAAGTAATAATAACTAGGTTGGTGCGTGGTTCACATTAGTGCTATAGGTTTGGATCCAGTATTACTTAGGTAGGCAGGAGACACTGTATCCAGTTCCATAAAGGCAGAGTAAAGAGTAGTGAGCTGTAGGTCAGGCACATTGCTGTGTGGGGTTCCATTCTGGATGTTGATGCTATTGCTGCTGGTGTTCTCCATCTGGCAGTGAGAAGGGAAACACTGGGAAGACACTGGGGATGATGAAATGAGAACTAGGGGATCCACAGCTAAGCTGTCATCTTTCAGCTCTTCCCAAAGGTTTCCTATAACAAAACAAAAGGGATTGAGTCAACTTTCTTCATATATGCTTTTTGAACATTGTTTTACAGAAGTCAGTAATTATACAGTTAGTATGCTGTGTGTGTAGGTGTTCTTAATCACCTGTGATTGAGAAAGGAAAAAGATTGATTAGATTATTTACTAGTTATTAGTTGTCTGTCACCTTAAATTTAAATCTGAGAAAGCAGCATTAGTTTAAGAAAATTATTTCACTTGATAATAAAGATTCTGTTGCAAATGTGTACTTAGGTAGCATAACTTCTATTTGACACCCACCCCCCATCACTAATTTTGAAAAAGGAAATTGCCTCTGTTATCTTTATAAGTTATGGAAGAGCTATTGGCACTTTGTGGGACAAATCTGCAAATAATACTACTTTATGACTGGCCTTCTTGTATTCTTATGGTGCAGTGTTCTCAGTGAACTAAATCACTGGATATCTGATTGACGTGACGAATTGAAAGATTTCTGAAATGGGACTTTTTTCTAATGTTTACCAAAACAGTTCTCATTTTTCTGCTGATATTTCTGTGCATATCACAGTGAAAGCCTGACATAAGTTTCTGCAGGAGGGCTATATTTTTCATAGTCATCATTGAAGATTTCCTTGTGGGGACTGTAGCAGGGAAACTTGCTCTAAAGCTATACCCACTGCCTGCAGACTGTCAAATGGGGTCATATTTAGCCATTTGCTAAAATAATTCTGATTTTAAAAATGATTAATGTGTGGATGCATAATGATTTTGTTGCAGCTGTGCAGGCCTTCCCTTAAATTCTAATTTGAGTGTTGAGAATTTTGATGGAATTGTACCAGATTGGTGAAACATTCAGAATATTCACCATATAAATGAGCATGTTCCAGAATGAAGTGGGAAGAGGATCAGAGAAATGTGTGGAATGCCTGAAAGAGGAAGAAGCTGAGGATTCCAAAAACTGTTGTTAATCTTAGTAAGTGATCTGGGCATGACAGGATTGTGGAATAGTTGTGACAGCACAATGGCACTTGCTGAGTCATGTAGATTATGGAGGTTTCTTTTGCTCTGTTTTTTAGGTTGCTTTTGTACCACGTTTTGCCTGTGCAGGAAGGCAATTCTTGCATGTTATGTGGTACAGCAAGAGCTATATCATTTGGAACCTGCAGGTTTTATTTATATATAAACACATATATAAATACATATATATGTATACACATATGCACACATGGTGGGTTGGGTTTTTTCCCTTATTTTTAATGGAAAGCTATGTTCTTAAAGTTCAAAATCCTGTCCATTCAAGGTGACTCAATTATTTCACATTAAAAAACCCTTTACTTGTCAGCATGGCATGACTAAGTATTTAAGAACACACCTTGGAAAATATAATTGTCCAGGGCATAGACCATGCCCTGAATGAATGCCTTGTGAAGGAGTAAACAGCACTCCTGTGAGCAGAGTTGTGTACAGAGTTTGAATATTGATAAAGAAAAATGTTGACATGTTAATTCAATCAGAATTACTTCTCTTTGTGCCTCTCACATGAGAATTCTCTTGATGTGCACAAAATAATTTTGCTTGAGTAATATTAATTTAAAAAATACCTTCTAAGCACTGTATTGTACTATTCAATATCGGCAGTTGTAATCAAGAGTAAGCATTTGGTTTTTTCAAAACTCTGGATGTAAATCTGTTGTGCAAAATCACATAACCTGGTAAGCAAGTCTTCGTAGCAGTGGCAAGGACAAGTAGTTAAGAAAGAAGGATATACATGCATCTGTTGCAGGTTGTGATGTGATGTGATGTAATGTAATAAGCCTGACTCTACCAAATAAAAATGCCTGAGATGCCTACCTTGGAGATCAAAATCAGTCAGGGATGGATTAAGAGCATCGATATCATTGCTGAGATCTCCTTCCTGCATGAGCGTGTCCTGCATTGTCCTGGCTGTAGAGTGCTCTGTCAGCATCTTCACTCCACAGCTGGGGGGGGTCTGAGCCGGCAGCGGTGAGTCCTGGGTCATGCTGGGCTGAGTTCTGAGTTCACTTTGAGCCTCCGCAGAAGGAAAAAGGGTCTGAGGGTCGGGTGACTGTTGCATTAATGTACTTGAGATTTGAGGAAAACCCTGTGTTGATGTATAGCATGCAGTTTGCTGCCCCCCAAGCAAATTTGGCAATGGGTTCTTGACATGTAGAGCTCCTGATGCGTGGATACTATGTAATGGCTGTGGTATACCGGAGGAAAGCGAGGGTTCGCATAAGGAATGGGATTGGACTGCCATCTGCCTGGAAAGGGATGCAGTTGCAACGCCAGTCGGACTGCAGGACATCATTGAAGACCTCAGCTTTTCGCTTTTGTCGCCTATCAGTGTGTCAAGTTCTTCTACAAAACAAAAAAAGAGTCCGTGATTAACTTACTCCTAAGAAAGCCTCAGTCTTCACAGCTTGCAGTTGGAATTCTAGTGTTCTTTAGGAAATGGGAGAGTGGAATGGCAAACAAGTGCTAACCCATTTATGATCACTCTTGAGGCCTGAAATGCTTTTCTAAATTAGCATTGCCAAGTGAGTATATGGTAAATTGCATCTCTGTGTTTAAAGGCTGGATACTATTAGTTAATTTCAAATTTTATTATCTAGTACTTATTTCAGTGTTGATTTTACTTTAAAGTTTAATGAGATGTCAAGAGAAAATGTTCCCTTGGTGAAGCTTCTTTGTGCCTATTTGGAAGCATTCCTGCAAAACCAGGTCTTATCTAATTCTGCTTTTAATTTTTATTCTTTGTTTTGCCAATCAGTTTATAACCAGGAAAATTCTTAAATGCTTTCCTAAATCCTGTATAAATTCGTTTACAGAGCTTGATGTCTGTTGCAAAGAAAAGTTCTGGGTTACACTGTTTGGGAACAAATACACTAATATATTACTGACCTGGCTTTGCCATACTCTTCCTTACAGCAACTGGGTCTTTCCTCTTCCATTTCTGAAGCTCCTCCTGCATCTTATCAATTTTGGCTGGATTCAGAGCCCACAAACAACCTTTCCGAGAAGAATTGCCTGACTTGTTTTCAACTTTCTCAAAGCATTTGTTCAAAGACAAGTTGTGACGTACAGAATTCTTCCAGCCATCTGGAGCTGTCTGGAAAAACAAATCCAGTCTAAGAATGGAGCTTCAAGGAAAAAATACAAATATATTTCTCTGTTTTGACTGGTTAGATTAAACTTTCTACAAAATGAAACTGGTACCATAGAAGGAAGCCACAAAAATGTTACAGTCGTGTTGTGTGGGAAGAGAGGAACCAGATAACATAGTAACTGATCTTCTAAGCAAAAGGTTGGCCTTGTCAGAGGGGCTGCTGTATGTTTGAGAGTGAATTTGCAAATTACAAGAATTAAAAGTGTTAATTATATTTCAGAACTGTGAACTAACAGGAAATCTCTTAATCCCTTTTGGAGCACCTAGAAATATTTCAAACACTTAGTTGACGGATTCAAATGAGTTGTCCAGGCAGACTTCAAAAGTGTTTTGGCATGCTGCTGGAGGTGTAGCCAATTACATAACCACATGGTTTAATCAAAAGCCCAGCGGATGAGATACAGGTTCGTACATCTGATCGCTGCATCTTTTTGCTTTGCATTTATTTTTAACTCAGTAGTAGAAGTTGGAAGGTCCTTTAGACTGAACAGTGCATGTGAGCTTCATTAAAATGATTCCTCTGTTTTTAGTTAGGATGTTTCTGATTGATGAGAGAAAGAAAATTCCCTCTTTTTTCTAAGGAAGGGGTTTGCATTCAACTGCAAGAATGGAAAGAAAAGAAAACTTAGTGCAAACCCTCAGTTTATACAAATTAATCTTTACAATATTTCTATTTTCCCTGATTGCTTGTAGAAGAACATTGATAATTAATATTGCTGTAGGGAATGAAGAGGGAAATACTCAGCAAAACAGTCATGCTCGGATTCTGATGGGAAATACTTGTTTGTTTGCTAGTCTGAAATGCTGATCTTGAAGAAACAGCACTGTATGCTTTTATTGCATTTCAGTTTTTCTGGTGTATGTTTATTTGATCTCACTCATTTCTGTTTCCTTAGTCATCCAGACAGAAAATGCTGCCCATCATATTAAGGCTTTGTAAATTAATACGCGTATTCATATCATAAGATTCCTACAGTAAATTCCTGATGTGTCACTTCCTTGCTTTTCATTTAGTTGGCTTTGTACGATGCTATCTGTTGCAGATCTGAGTAGAACTCTCTTAGCTCATTGCCACTGCACTGTAAGCTCAAAAAAAATAAGGGAGTGGGAAAAATGGCTTGCTATGTAATTGTAGGAATCAACCTGAGAAACCCAGCTTCCTCGTAGTAGATGCAACTGCTTGTCCAGCTACACCTGTCATTGTAGGACCAGTTAAAAGCCCAGAACTGTAGCTTCATCTGTGTCAGTTAAATGATTCTTTCCAAAGGGTCTGCATTTGCACAGATGAGAAATCTCAAGAGAGAGACTTCAGAGCTCATCAGATTGCAAGGAGTATAGAGTATGTGACGCCTTTTTGTTTTGTTTTAATCAGTTTTGGATGCTTTTCCTTGTTTCCAGAAAATCCTCAGCTGTGTGTCATAAGAGTTAAAAGAAATCAAACAGCTCTCTGAATGGTGGGTGACATTGTTTGTGTGCCACTATTAATTGACATTCATGGATGTAAAATATTGGTTGTTGCAACTGTTGACCAGAGAGCACAAGAAATAAAAATGATTTTCCATAGTATTTTTAAAGAGGTTAAAAATGAAAATTTCCCTTTTATGCATGTTAAGTTTCCTTTCCATTCTTAGGCCTTATTTATAGGGATCATTCACTTACAGAAAGCAGCTTTTGGGTACTTTCTCTAAATGTTGCCTGGAGTAACAGATCTCTTCCAGACCATCTTTTATAAATGGACTTGTGTCCATTCTTGCTATTGCATGCTACACCCTGCATTTTTGAACACATTTTGACAGAAATACTGTTTTTATCAGGAATGCAAAATCTAGTGGGTTAAGGTGTTAAAAGCCTTACTGAAGAATTTCAGGGTCAAATTTAATACTTGCTCTCCTCATTAAAAAAAGTTAATCAGTACTGGAAGTTAAGTACATGTTGCTTACTAAAAAAGAAGATACTTTCCCTTCATAGCGGCACAATTTCTACCCTTTTGGCCCACCTGATGTCAGCATTTCACTATTCTGTCAGCGGGTCCCATAGGTGGAACACTGCATTTCTGTTTAAACAAAAAAAGGGGCAAAACCTCCCTTTTTAAACTCTTTCTGCCACAGGGTAAAATTAAAGCTGATGAATCAGGTTTTCTCCTTTGCAGATCATATTCAAGTTGCTTTCTGTCAGTTCCAAAAGTAAATAGAACTGTTGCTCCTAGGTAAGATGCGTATTTAGCTACTGAAGAAGCTGACCTGAAAGAATATTCATGATTGTGCCCTTCATAGGAGGCTGTATCTAGACAGGATAATTAGTGTTTCTGCTAAGCACCAGGGAAGATGGGAGTGGCATGTGTTTCTCAGAGCTTTTCAGAATGTGTGGGGGTGTAAACTATGAGGTAGTTTTAGAAATGTAAGAGCAAAAAGTACACAGATTTCTGCTGGAGACTGCTGCCAAGAGCTGAGCAGGTTCTTGCATTAAACTTGGGATTGCTGAGCAGCGAAAACCAGTCATTTACCCAGGTAGGCCCTGAAGGAACACTCTGGCAACGTGATCATGTTACAACTCTGTTAGTAGTTGAAGTTAATATTTGTTAAAGAACTGAGCTCTGGCTCCTGCATTGCCCTTGTACAGTTGGAATCTCCTGGCTACAGCTCGGTTTTGCTATTGCCATACTCAGCAGAGCATGGATGAAGCTGTGTAGAGTTGGACACTGCAACTTGCTGTTCTAAGTTCATCAGACCACAGACTTTCCTAACCTCTTGGACCACTGCAATAACTCCAATTACCAAGATTAAAGCTTTCTGTTAGACTCACTAATCACTACAAAGACAAAAAGGATGACAAGCAAAAAATATTACTGCACAGACCCATTGATCCTGACCGCCTCTTGAAGTTTAAAGAGTTCAGTGATCTTGCAAAACCCTTTCTCTTTAAATCTAGGTCTCAAGAGAAGGGAGAGGTACATCAAAGAGTAATTCGACTTTAGCTGCGTAGATGTTTTTTTTAGGACGTAGGAGTTGGATTGCTCTGTTTCAACTAGAAATGAGATTGTTGCATCATAGAAACTAAATTTGCTGTGGCAGCGAATACAAGTTAATTTGACTAGGCTTGTATCATCTAATGTCTCCCAGCAAGATTCTGTGTACACTTGTACTCTGTTTCTCTCTAACTTTAATTGCTTCCCCTCTCCCTGTTGTATCCTGCTGTTTAGAGAGTTCTGGTAGCAACAACAAAATATTCTTTGCTGATTTTATAATCCTTTATCTTGCTGAAGACTGTATTTGTAAGTAAAATGCAAACAGAAAGCTGTCACCAAATAGTGACAGTTACAAGAAACTTTCCAGTAGTACCCCCTGTATCATTCTTTTTCTACGATGCACAAAGTAGCAGTAACCTCATTCTCATCAATTTTTTAAACGAATTAAGCAAAAGACCAAGTTCTGATAAGTAAGAAAGTAAAAGTTTAGGTATAAAACAGTTATTTAAAGCTGTGATAGAAATAAACCTTCTGTCAAGCTGAGCATGTGTGTCCACACATACGTCTGTATACACACAGGCAGATGTGAACACACCTATTTGTACATGTTTACACATATCTACAGTACACAATATTTACACACAGCATACATATGGGGAGAGGCTGTGTATCTCCCTAATGTTTCTGCTGTGTCAGAATGACTTCAGGACAAGGAAGGTGACACCTGCAGAGCCACAGTCTCCTGTCAGAGGAATTCTGTGCACGCTGGCAGCAGCAGCATTTGGTTTGCAACCTGCTGGTTAGTTAATTTTATAATGGATTGTGTTGCAAGTCAAAGGAGAATTGATTTCAGTTTGGTCTGATGAATAAATTTGGACATCTGTAAAACTTATTTTTAATATTCCCTCCTCTCTGCTTGAAACTCTTGTTATTTTTCCAGAAAACACTGATCAGATGGAATGCATTCCATGATTTGTGCATTATACTGGGGAGCGGAACTCCACAAAATACCAGTTTCAAGATGTTGGGGGCCAGCACCTTTTCCATAATCCTCAAACTATTTTCCTTTGGATTACTAATATTTTTTTCAGCTAGTGGTAAATACATGGGATATAGAGTTATTATTCTGTTAGGGACAAAGTACAAATGTTTAAATTTATTCTTCTTGTGAAAATGACAGGAAATTCACAGTTACTATGTTCTTGTTACATGCCATTCTGCTGCTCTTCCTTTCCCTGTTCAGATTACTGTCATTGCTGAATTCTCTGTGTTTAGCCTAAAAATATGTTGTGTCCCTGTGACTTGAAGTGTTTCAGGTTTGTTTCAGTGGGTTATGAGCAATCATGGTGTGATAGCACACTGCTTGAATTGTGATGGTACGTTTCTTTCTTTTTTCCCTTCGCTTGTTTGTAGCAAAGAATTGAGCAGCTGGTGATTCCCTTGGGAAGAAATCTGGGAATGAAGGAGTGTAAAGGATCCTAACAGTTCTTCCTTCATGATAGCTCGTGTATTCTACTTCTCTGGTTACTGACCTGTTCGAGTTTAACTTTTTCTGGACATTATTTATCCTCAGTTAGTGTCCAAAACCATTGCAAACTTGTGTCTGAACACTGATTTCTAGTCATCCTTAGTGTTCTGAATACAAATGTTTCAATTGCCTTTCTGTAGCTGCTTTAAATTTGGTTGAATGGCTGCATCTTTGTTCGCAGTAGGAAACTTAGACTCTTGTTGCTTTTTCATTTCTAGGTCTTGCTAACAGTTGCAGGTCACCTGGTCTGGACTTTTTAGTGAGATGGTTTTGAAGACTCAGCAATAATAAAGCTCTGTGTTGGGTGGCAGTTGATGATTCTATTACAGCTCTTTTTAAAACCTTCACTGTAATCCTTCTGCTCTTGGATCATGCCCTGACTAATCTCTTTCCACTTGCAGTCTAAGTGCAAGAAACCATTTTCTTATAGCGTGGATTTAAATTTCAATAGTAACTGCTGCAAACCATACACCCTCACTTCACCAACATTACAGTGTAATTATGAGCTTAATACTATTTATCACATATTATACTTCTCTTTGTACAGTGTATGCAAGTGATGAAGTTGCCCAAGACTGATATTCCAGCCCCAGAACAGAGCAAGATAACCTTGAGCATCTGCTTCTACATGAGTTTGGAGGTGCTACTGATGGCAAAAGAAGCCACAAGACCAGTTCTGCCTGTATTTGAGATCAGAGAGGAGAGAATGGATATGTTTTTAAAAGCATTTATCCTTTTGGTGAGTTGTTGGTGAGGAACAGCCACTGTTATCTGCACAAACTCAAAGTTGGAACAGTTCTTAGTATCTTTCTGTGTTAAATATTGCCACATATCATGTTCATGTTTCTACCTAGGCCTTAAATGCTGGGTGGTTTGTGATCATGAAGGTATATAGTGTGTAATTGATTTTATATTAATCTACCTAAGAAATGATCCCTTTTCATAGATCGAGTCCCCTTCTTTATTCCCTCTACTGCCAGCTGTAAGCTGAGAGAGAGACTTCCCCCCATCCCCTTGGCACTCACCTTAAAGTAAGGGAAGTGTTCCGTCATGAAATTGTAAATCTCACTGACTGGCAAACTCCCTGTCTTGCTGTTTTTGAGTGCCATGAAGATCAGGATGCTTCAGAGAGAGAAAGAAAAAAAAAAATTAGCTTATTCTGCTTGACTCCTCAAAAGCAGAAAAAGAGTGGGTTTTTTACAGTGAATGTAATTACTGTGGCTTGCGCTGCCTGAGCATGAACACTGATGATACTCAAAGTTTCCACCCAGTTGTTTACAATCACTCTCCTTACACTGCTTAACTTTTTGAGGTAGTTCTCAAAGCACACATAGAAGGTCCAGCCAGGGCTTAAAATAAAGTAATACAAACTGGAATCAAGTCCACAGCCTTCAAATTCTACTAATGTGTTTTTATTTAAGGTTGTGTTTGAATGATAAAGGCCCCAAGAAGAGTGTCAAAATGAAAGTGAAAAAAGGTACAATTAAAATGCAATTGTCTGGTCTACTGTGTTAAGCTGCTCTCTGGGGGCTAAACCTGTGTGGTGACTGGCATATCTGATAGGTTTTTAGGCATTTCTTTGCCATAATAACTGGAGAAAAAACATGAGATTTAATACAGGTCCTGGAGAAGACAACTACAGGTGATTAGTCTTGTGCTGATGAAATTTGCAGCACCTAAGTTTTCATACTGGAGAAACATCTAGCTGTTGTGGGGTCATCAAAACTGTTCACAAGCTTTACAACATTGCATTTCCCTCTGCCTTGGCCCCTGAGTCTGGAACATGTTGTGATTCATACAAACAGGACAGAGCACACTGGGAACAAGACAAATAAGAATAAGCATGTTGTTGCAAATGATGCTGGAAATAGGCCATGGGTAAACAGTGTATTTCCTGTAACATTAGAACTTGAGAAAGTATGTTATTACCTGTAGGAGTAGATGGGTTTGGGAAACAGAGGCTGCTGGGATTCTTGACTGCTTTGAGGAGCGATTCGTTGGTAGGGGTAGTGTGAAGAAGTAATGTAAGTCACAGGATAGCTGCCTCCCGAGGGATACTGGTGGTAGAATAAAAGAGATGTTACTTGACCTATCAACAAGCTTTCAAAAATACTTATTTCTTAATAACATTATTAAGCTAGCTCTGAGGATGTTGTCTTCTGCCTATGTTTCATACCTGTTGTGCCAACCCAGATGTGTTCTTTCTTGCATGGTATTGGAAGACATTAATATTACTTGTTAATGCCCAAAAAGTAGAAGAAACAGGGCATGGATGAGGAGGAGCTCACTGATACGTTGACTGTTACCAGATGTTGTTTAGTGTGTTCCAAATTGAAGGATGTAAAAAAAAAGTACTTTCTTATTGCCTGTTATGCTACTGAGTTCTTGTGAAAAATGGGATTAACTGAACCCTGGTAATTGTCTCCAGAAAATTCATAACAGCATCCCAAAACATATGTTTAAATTGCTGTTACCAGGTGAGGTAGTAAAAAACCCCAAACAACAACCACCAAAGCTATAGTGGATGTGTACACAAAGTGAGTGTGCTATTCTAGAATAAGTTAGTAGTGTCATTCCAGGGGACAGACAAGTGGCTTATGAGATGTTTCTCATAGCTGGTTTTCATACTGCCTGCCTTGAGAGGCTGTGAGGCTACTGTTGTAGTCAATAGCAAGCAACAGGCTTCTCGAAGGGCCTGGGAGTTTAAGGGCTTCAGGCAGCTTTCCCCTACCTCCCCCTCCCCCCCCCCCCCATTTTCTATATCAGGAAGCTAAAAAGATTAGGCAGGGTTCTTCTTCATTAGGCAGAATGAAATCAGGTAGCATTTGTGCTACCCTCACCCTACCCCTTGGGACAAGCAGCAGAATGCTCCTCAAGACTGAAGTGCTAAGCTTAGCACCTCATGAGATCTCTAAGCCTGTCCCACTCTCAAGACACACTAAAGAAATCACTGGCCTATCATGCAGTCACCAGGATAGAGATATGCCCATGCAAAAAAACAGGTGAAAGAGGGGAGATAACACACACAGCCTGGATTGCATCAGAGTTTCTGTAGGTTTGCTCTCATTTTTTAACACAGCAGTTGGTTACGTTTTTCTTTTCCAAATTACAGTTAAACCTGCAAGTGAGCAACTTTCAAGAACAAAGAATCACTGCTGCTGAGGTGAGATACCATCAGTTGGCTCTTCAAGAGGCAAAGGCTTCCACTGAACTCAGAGCTCAGTGTGAGAGGAATTTCTGCCTCTTACAGATGAATCTTTGCAGGTGCCAGGGCTAGGGCATGGACAAAATTAGGAGTCATGTCATATGCTATTAAAAAACTACCTGCATGCCTTCCCTAGTACTCAAAAGGCTGCTGAGCCCTGTTCCAGTGTTTTACTGCTTAGCTCTAGAAGTCCTGTGTCATGAGAGTTTTATGGCTCCTTTGAAAGATTATAATGTAGCTTTTGAGACTGGTTGGGAAAATCTCCTTGGTAATTTATATATCTCCTTAGTTTCTTACTGTCATTCCTATTTTCAGACTAATAGCTTCTGTGGCTCTTGGTCTTTGTTGCCTTAAAATGCATGTGAGAGTTTATCATGTGCTTGCAAAATGTTCATAGTTTATGTATTTATTCTGGATTTTGAATAATTTATTTCAGTTTCTAAGTAATTTTACAGCTGTTGCTTGAGTTTGTTGTCTGTTTACCTTTATCTTTCTAGCACTGAACTACCTGAAATGGAATGTGGACAAACATACTGAATACACTAATTTGTTTGCTATGGTAAGCAGGGTGAAAGAAATGAGATGTACATACTCATTCATCATGTCCTGCCTTGTTAAACTAAATCCTGGGCAAAACAGCAGTCTCCACATTAACCTTGAACTATTTTCCACGTGCAGTTCTGTGCTGCCTGGTTTGTTGCATAGTGTTTGGGTTTTGCATCAGAGTAGAAAACTGGGTAAATCACACAATGATTTTGATTTTATTAGTCTTGGTGTCTCTTTGAAAGGAAAGAATACAATGATGGGGCTGGTTGTGATGTCATCAGCAAGGGCAAGAACTGGGTGTTTTAAGGATTATTTCTGTTTTATTGGTTTCATTACTCCTTTTTGAGGGAACAGAGGCTGGGGAATGGTCTGGTATGACAGGCTTGAGCTGGTTTTACAGTCGCACAACTGGCATGAAAGGTGTCCATGTTTTATGGTGGGTGGGTAAGTGACTTCAGTAAGTGTCTGCTACTTCTTTCAGGTCAACAAGAAGTAATTTTTCTTATGAATCATCATCTGTGTTGTGTCCAGCAAAGGGGAAGGTGAGGCCATTTTATCATCTGGACAAAATTAACCAAAGAGTTGACCTCTCTCATCCCTCTAATGAAAAATGAGGTGTAGTTTGCACATCCTTCACTTCAGGCTAAAGGGCCCGTTCTCTGGAGTGCAACTTCCTAGTGATTTTAATTGCACTGCTCCATTCAAATTTGAAATGTAAAGTATTAATAATAGAGCTGCTTCATGCAAAAGATGTTATTCCACCTCTCCTCTGTCTTGTATCACATGTTCTTTCATTTTCCAGTATCTGATTATGGCACACAGACAGCAATTCTACCTGTTATGATGCTGGCTGCTTATGCCTATTGTTTCTTTCCTCTGAGTAGTAGAACATGTTGCCATACTTTTACTGTAATAACATTAAGAAGCACAAATATTGAAAAGTCTAACAGAAACCTGCTGTGTGTAAGAGATCTGTCACAGTGCCAGCCTGCAGGTGGATGGAAGCCTTTCCTCTGAGTGCTTGTTGTATCTTGCCTGGCAGCTCCCAGAAGGAGTATTTCAGCTTTAATTTTGTAGGTTTTTTGAATGTGGTTAATGCCAGTGTGTAGTAATAGTTCTGGTGTGAACACAGCAGTGACAGAGGAGGGCTGTCTGCCACAGGATGAATAGAGAAATTGGAAATACTCACTGAGTTAACAGCTGGCTGGAGTTTCTGCTAAAGCAACCTGACATTTATACTGTGAGATGTGTGGTACTGTGGCACATCCACAATGTCTGTACTACAGTCCCTGTGGGGAGCTAGTTTATATGTGTAGCAGGATAATCCTTCATCTGGGACCCTTCTAAAATAACAATAAGAAAATAATCCAATTTGTAAATTAGAATGATAGTGTAATATCACCTTTCTTATTCTGTTTTATAACCTTTTATAATTTCTAGTGAGTTTTAGGCTAACAAGAAAATGAATTATGATGGTATTGATAAAACTGAAAAGATAGTTACCTTTTTGCCACATTATAGGGGGGGAAAAAAGGAGGTTTGGTAAATTCTGGTTGGTGGAATGCCAGACTGGTAGGTGAAAGAAAAAGCCAGGAGTGAGATGATTCTGTAGCCATACTTCCTGACTCAATGTAGGAGAACTGCTGCTCTGTTATTCATGCCTTCTCACATCTGTTTAGCAGCTGTACACTGGACAAGGAACCTGAGTTGAGAAGCTGGTACTTGAGGGTGCTCACTGAGCTTTGTCACACCAATCTGTGGATCAGTTTAACTGGTCCCAGATGCTAGAAGTTTGGAAAGGCCATAAAAGCCCTCCTAGTGGTTAATACACTCAGTCCCTATTTTATTCCACTCTATATCTGAGGGGTTATCTACTGTAATAATGAAACATCTTCCTTTAAATTTCAGTAGACAGGTGGGGGATTTATAAGTTTGAGAAATACACACTTAAATATGAAAATCCATTGCTGAGAATGGAATTCTTTCATTCTTCCTTAGTCATGTTTTACCAAACAACTAAATTTCCTAACCAGTCACCTGTGACAGATGATTTAGTTTTATCAATGCTGATAAAATTCCAACATTTATCTATTCTCGTTCTTTATGCTCATGCAGCATCTGTTTTCAGATGTTACTTAAGTTTCCTCTATAAGAAAATCATGTCAGAAATAACCTTTCTTTTTCCTCATAAGTGACTAAATCCTGATGATGAATGGTATGATTATTATTTCAATGTTTCAGACTAGTAGCACCATATGAATTAATCCCAGTGAAATATCATACAGTAACCTGCTCTTTATTTGCTTTGCACAGTTTGAAATCACTGCTCAGTTAGTCACAGGTTTTATACTTCTTGAGCAAGTTGAATGAGATGGTACAGTTGATTCCACAGTATCAGTCATCAGCCACTGGGATCAAAGGAGTTCTAACTCAAGTGTGAGCTTTTATGGTCAAATATTTTATATATGTGAATTTGCTGTAAGTTTAATTCAGTTGTAAATGTTGGGAGCTATAGTGATTGTGCTGGTTTTGTACATGGATTTCTGCCTCTGTAGCTGTAAAATCCTCATTGCCTTAATTTCATTTTAAATAAGTTTTGGAGGTTGTTTGTTTTAAATAGGGAGTTTCAAGCAGTGTTTTCAATGCATTGAATAGCACCACCATTTATATCTACAGGAAATTAGTTAAATTCATTTCAGAGTCATGAGAATGACTTTGTGACACTCACCCTCCCTCTGTGCCAGGGTTTTAAACCTCAGTAGACCACACTAACATCTATAAATAGGTACCAGGATCACATGTATTAAGGATTAAGGTATATATGTATGATCTTACAAAGATACTGTGTATATACTGCTTTGAAAATAGGAACTGACCTGTACTCAAATGCCATCTAAACACACTGAAGAACAAGGTGTCAGTTACTGCTGTGCATTTTTAGTATTAATAATATAGTTACAGAAGAACAGCCCTAATATTGTGCATTCTCATGCATCATCAGCATTATTGTCAATTATGCTTCAGCTGAATAATCTTTCACAGGGGATGATGTAACAGTCAAAAGGTTGCAAAAGAGATGTGTGTGCTGTCAAGCGCAAGGAGAATGAGCATTCTCTTGCTGTTAATGTCTTGCTTTAAGAGTGGTTTTCTATCTTTATCTGAATTTTCAGTATGCAGTCGTGTATATTTACTTTCTTATTCTGAA